ACACTGAATGACTCAGGATCGCTGTACAAATGCTGTGTGTGTCGCCTGTCGGTGTCGTGCTGGTCTCAGCGACATCACCGAAAACTTGACAACATACACGTGACCACAACATTGAGAGAATTTAGCTGAGAAAGAGTTTACTAACTTTAGCCGTAGAAAATTGATGAAAATCATTGATCCATGCAGTTTTTGTTAGAAAAATTAGCAAATATGACAGTATTGAACTATCACACAACTGCACCTATTGTTAGATGTATAAAAAAAAAGAGTAGAAAAGAAATATTTCTCACAAAATTCACAATAGTATCACTTGCAGTTTCATGGCACTTTTGTAGAATTAATATTTTTATTTATAAAAGTGTTCATAATTACTGTTATAGGAGTGGTTTGTACAAGGAAAAACAAAAACTTGGGTTTATTTCACTTTCAATTCATGTGGAGATTGTTCCCATATGATTCCATCTATGTTTTTGGGTAAGAACGATACCGGTTTCTGGTGCGACTCATCAATATTCTCCAAAAGGTCAAGAACTTAGAAAACAGTAAAAATAAAATGAGAAAATTAAAAGTAAGAATAGCGGCACCATATGTGACGTCGTATGGGGAAAAACGACGGAGAACTTAGGTACTTATTATAACTTTACGTTCAATTCCAGATGCACGAATGCGAGGCACATGACTCTACAATTTTTGCAAAAAATTCTGTGGATGAACAACCAAAGAATTCCTGCAATAAAATATTCCTCCATTTTTTTGCTATTTTATGTACACTTTGAAATTGACCAAAGCTGTACAAAACTCGACTTTAGAACATTTTTTGTCCCTAACAGAAGATTCGAGGTCAAGATCAGCGCGGGCACTACTTTAGGGGCGAAATTCGTTCTTCTTCCTCCTTTAAAACACAAAATTCTAAATGGGCAATGCTTTGCAAAATTGCCCAATTCGTTTACGACTAATAATTGGAGACATGGAAGCAAGACACGTTCGCAAAGCTGAAAATAATCCTATTTGCGAGACATTAAATTTGAAAGCGATGCCGGGAGGCATGTGAATCTGAAGTGCGTGAGAAATTCTAGAATAAAATTCTTTACCGGAAAATGTGATTAATGATAGCGACATTGCCATTTACATCAACAATACAACCATATCATCTGCAAAACAGGTATTTCTAGAGGAAGATAAGATGTAAATGTAGAAGGTGTCGCAAAATTTTCTTGGAAGAATTGGAACTAGCCAAATACCAACGTTTACTATGAAATTCAGGCGGATATTCGAAAACAAAGTTTTGACCTAAACACAGATCTTCACTTTTATAAATATCAAGACCCCCCCCCCCACATGCTCCAATTTATAGTATTCGCATACTTATAAGCACAGTTAGTATGATATTTGAGCTCAAGAAGCTAAAAAAAAACAAATTGAAAATGGCAAACTCCGCCTCCATGAAATACGAACTCTCCTCGCACTTCCTTAATTGGATACATGCGGGAGAGAGAGAGAGTACAGCTACAAATTTTCGCGCATTTACGTGTATTTTATTTTAAAAAATAACAGAAATTACTCTAGAAATGTCTGGGCACTTTGACGTCAACTTAATAGGTGATGATTCACAAAGATTGTGCACTTTTGATGCAAATCTGCTTTTATCAGCGTTCATTAAGTACTGACACAAAAGAAAATCGCTATCAAATGTGTACTTGTTATCACAGCCCGCTTTGATTGACTAGTGACTCACTTCAGAGGTTTAATCAGCATAAAAAAGTTACTGCAGCTATAGTGCCATAAGAAGCAGAATTACTGTGAAGTGACTAGCTGACGACATTAGATTATGGTTCATTTATTTATTTGAACTCTCAAAATGAATCTCAAAAACGTTGTGCCGCCCGACAAACGCAAACATAAACGGAATAAATGTAAGCGAAAAGGAAGAAAAAGCGAGATGTAATTTAGCTTAGGATCTAACTTTCTCAACGTTTGAACAGTAGACCTCTTCAATGACTAAAATTTATAAAAGGTCAAAAAAGAAAATTATGCATGTAATGTATACAGCCGTTTATATTGTAATCAAATGCATATAGAGGGAGTACACGACTACAGCGAAGAAAGCTGACAAAAGAGTTATCAAATCTTTCCATAAAAAACGTTAAACAAGTTTTACTTCCCTCTATTACATCATAATTTTTTATGGAGAAAATCATGCTAACAAAGAGAAAAAGGAAAACGTTCAACGCAAATTCTACAAGGAAGTTACTCCTAGACAGATAATAAGTACACGTCTTCATTGACGTAAAGCACATATTTTGTAGCTTCTAATCCCCCCCTCCCCCATCCGCGCCCAATCCTACACCCGATGCAGCAGCTCTTCGACTTTGAAATTTATTCCAGGAATGGATGCAAAGCTTGTGACGAACGCCAGCAAGGGTCAAACTTCACTCGGCGCATTTCTCCCAGAGGACTTCGGCACTAATCAGCCAAACGAAGCGACGAGCTCGAGGAAAGGGGGGGGGGGGGGTAGCAGGATCCCCCCCCCCCCCCCAGATGTCCTATTGCTTCACACGTCAAAAAGCTAGCGGCCACATTTCGAATCCAAAATGCACTATAACGCTTGAACAGAGTTCGAGTAAATATAAGGAAACCTGATATTCCGAAAGAAAGTACAAGTTGCCCATTTGGGCGGATATGCTAGCAAAAGGAAAAGCGTCATTTTCTAAGTACACATATCGAGTTAGGACACATTACGATAGAACAAACGAGAAATTTGGAAAGGATGGGAGTAGGACTATAAAGATATTGAAGATAGATATATCTGCACTAAACTCTAAATCAACGAAGTTTTCAGAACATCAAATATTATGATTTATTCAAAACTCCCAAATCAAGGAATAAAGGTTCAACCACCGTAGAAAACTTGATTAGATTTATAAAATTTGCGAGATTACAAGATAAAAGAGAAAACATAAGATCAAAAGTGAAGAAAACGAAGAGGAAGAGAAAATAGGAATAAAAATTGAGATAAAGGAAGAGGACATTATTGGAAGTAAAGAACCTCTAAAACGACAACTTTTGTTTCTCAGAACAAAAGAAGGAAAAAAGAACGGAATGAAAGGAAAAAGAAAAGCACTAAAGCTGATTTTTCATTATGTGATTTGTGACTTTTAAGTTTTCCACTGCTTCAGACAAAAGTCAAACTTCCTTAGTTTCTGTATAGTGTTGAAACCCAAGCCAAATTTAAAAACGCTTTAAACTGCCTAGCCAAACAAAATGTCTTCGAGACGATGAAAAACCTCTTCGGCAGATTTCTGTCGCAAAACGACAAACAAGATATAAAGCATACAAGTCGTTAAGTTTATGGGTTTCGCTGAGGCAAGATGACATCATATCCGGACGGGCGCGTCTTGCTTGCTGCTAGAAGTTTCCAGTATTGCATTTTCCCGGAAGAGACTTAGGAGCATCGAAAATTAGCTCAGAAAAGTCTGCTGGGTGACGAGCTATGCATGGAAAATTGACAGTTCTGATATCAGAAGCAGAGTTCTATAATAAATAGGTATTTTCTACAAAATTCAACTTTTCAGCAATGTAAAAGAAAGGGATTGTGTGATTGTCAAAGAAACGAGCTGGTCATGGAAACCAACAAAGACAGCACTGATGAGATGCTAGAAATGATACATGGCCGAAATAAGAGAGCAAGAAGCTTTGAATGAAGGCGCGAGAACTGGTCAAGAATCCAGAGGCAAATTCGAAGGGTAAAAAAAAAGAAAGACAAAGATAACAGATAAGAATGAAGATGTTTAAACAGTAGCAACTTAATTAGCGCACGCACAATGAGAGGGAATTTCAAAGTAGAGCTTTTTTGGTCCCTACTATCATGCAAAACGGTTGAGCCACCTTTACCCAAAATGTACGACATTCGCTCAACTAAAGTAAGGTATTCCTTCTGCGAATTAGAGGAGATGAAAAAAAAGAATAATAAAGATACAAGAAAGAGAATGATAGCGTTACATCAAAGCCGCTCTTATTCACCATATGCAAAGCCTCGAAAAAAAAGCCTTGAAGATCGCAACTTTCGGTTCTCAACGGCATTTTGAATGTTGATTTCCCTTTCCTTTGATTTCTGGCATTCGTTCTCGCTCGCCTGACCATGACAAATGGCGCCAGAGCACCAAGTGACTCATCAGGATGATAAAGTGCAAACTTTCTTGCGCAAAATCCAAACCGGAAAATTCAAAACAGATCTCACGCAGAGCAAAAACTCTCGAGATTTATGTTACAGAAGTTACAACTTCCATAATAAAGTAAAAGTTCTTGAAATCATTCAGCAAAGCAAAAATTAATTCGCCGAAAGATGTATGCATGAATTATTCAAGAAAAAATAGAAAAAATTTGTGACTGCATATGAAAGATTAGAGTAACTTCCTCTTATTACCGCATATTGTGTCAAGCCCATTTTTAGAAAAACATAAGCGCGTAAGTCATGAGCTCAACTTCCTCATTAAAGAAAGTTTGAGAAATCACCACTTAAAATACATTGATATAAAATGATGCATGAACGAATTCTTTCTAGGAACAAATTTCGAGATAAACAGCCGCTTTGAAGGGTTCGCTGAAGTGTAAAGAGTACAAGCGGACTTTTCGAGCAAATAAGGAAGACAAAGCAGCGACACAACCCTGAACCATAGTTACCAGCGACAAAGTCGTCGATCAATACATAACAACGTTCATGAAGGGAAGAGGCATAGAACGAAAACTTGAGGGAAAACGATATGCAAGCAGGAAAAAACATACACGATAAGAATTTGTCGCGTGCTAGGGAAAATGAAAGGTGAGTAAAAGCGCACGTAATTGTAAGAAAATGAACAGAAACAAAAATAAACATGATTTCTTTCATTTCAAAAATTTACAAAAGCTGCAAAGAACCACTTCTCTCAAAAAAACTTGCCGAAATACCAGAAAAGAGATAAAGGCAACCATTCTTCACACAAAGAACAGTAAGAAAGACAAACCTCCTTGTGGAAGCATTGTCAGTATTCGCTCAAAAACTCAAGAATCTTGACCTCTTAGCGTCAAAAGGCCAAGAAATGAGCGCTGAACCAATGCGTGCCAGCTTCGAGGTGTGCTATCAATGCATGACAAACATGCGAACGCCACTAAAACTCAGCTCAAACAAGAAAACAGCGCTTGCAACCTCAAAATTGATTTTTAAAATATTTAGCAATCAAATTAACTAAAATGTCATTTCAATAAAGAATGAACAGACTTTATCAAAATATTCAAAGCAAGGCAAAGGAATTGTGTACCCAAAATACAAATTGTCATTCAAATGAATTAAAAATACTCTGAGATCATTGCAAAAAATTACTGGGATGTGTGATCGATACGTAAGTACACACTAGCAATGTAAAAAGTTAGATAAGTGTGATCTTGTTATCAGCAATCATGATTGCATTGTCACTAGCCATGCGCTCGTATCCGGCTTCTAGCTCTCCAGCGGTGAACTGGTTTGTGCCGGCCTGTGATTGCACTCCTGAAAATCAAGTCATCAAAATAAACAATCACAAGAGGCGTTTTCAAATAAGAAGTTAAAGCCTCACCTTCAGTGACTCTTTCCAGATCTATCATGTCATCAGTAGTGCCGATTTCATCAAACACTTTTCGAACATATGAACGGAAGAGTTTGTACCTGGAATGGCATCCTTTGAGATATTACATGAGGTATAAAAGTGCTCCGCTTCTAAAATATGAGTCCACACTGTCAAACACCATGACAATTTTTTAGAAAAGAATTCTTGGACATCAATGGAAAATGACACAGAAATCTCAAATATAACGCCAAAAAATCTCGGGAGATTTATCACAAAAAGAAAAATACTTGGTAGGATACTAATGGCTTCTTAATACACCATACCTGCCAACATCAATGCTTGCCGTCTCTGTGCGAGGTCTTTTAGCTGCTTGTTGCGGTTCGGAGGCTGTTGTGTCCATGCTTTCGGTAGTCTCATCACGAGGCCGTCTAGAATGTACAAGGTTTTTCTCAAATTACTGACTAGCTCAGTGATCGATGACCACTGATTCACCACCTTCAACTTCAAAATGCTTCAATTCTCAAAATACAGCGATATTTAGGGCTTAGAGAAATGGGCTGTAATTTTTGTCAAATTGATTAAATAATCACCTTCGAGTACTGCGTTCTTGCCTAGTCGGGGCTGTAACAGTAGACTGGTCCATCTGCAAAAAATATGTCTGTTCACAAACATTTCTTCTACCAAGGCTGTAATTTCTCTTATCTCAACCTAGTGGAGAATACACGCCATTTGAATGACCCTACTCAATAAACACAAAGCACTGTATAATATAGGTCCAAGACAAAAATGTCTGCTTGTTATGTAAGCGAAATTTCAAGTTACAATAGTAAACCCTAGAAGAGTCACAGAAAATCAGAGAATAGCCATGAATCAAACTTCCTAGCTTGGAGTGAATTGGTTTGAGACATACCTCTTCTTCTTCCTCATCATCACTCCTGTGATCGACACCTTTCTTCTTCAAGTTTTCAAAGTCAAGACGTGCTTTTGGCTTCTCTTTGAAGCAAGCAAAATGCAGAAGATTGTAAGCCTACGATAATATCACATATTTGAAGGTTTTAACGGGGATTGTTTCTTAGCATTTCTTCATACCTTCTCAGCATCCACTCTGTCAACAGTCTTCGAGAACCTAACCTTAGCTATGGAAGTAGCAAGACGGATCAGTGTTTCCAGCTGCCTAGCAGTAATGGGCATGGTCTAAAAGATGTCTCTCATAGTCTCAAAAACTTCATGAACATCAAAAACCGCTCACCCTTTCCCTATCAGTCTTTGAGATATCAAACGATCTGATTTCTGAATAGACGTCGGATATGTATTCAGTAGCCGACTCGGTCAACTTCGGCTTCATAGAACGTGCCAGATGGATGTATTTTCTAACAAACTCCACAGATAATATCTTTTGCCTAAACATATGACATCAAACCGCAAAAAAAACACCCTAACTTGAAACTCACGAGTCATCCACCCAATCAGAATTCCTCTCATACATCTCACTAGTTCTTTCAAAACCAGCAAGATCAAATGTACTCATAGTGTCAACAGCAGATCCCATAGGAAGCACAGTACCATCTTCTTCTCCGGGAGCACGATAGCAATGCAGCTTGAGAACATGGCTGGCCACTTTACTGTCTCTATCAGGGTCATGCTGAAGCGGGTGTTGATGATTACGTGAATACATTTGATTCAAACAATCTTGCTAACCTCATCTAGTAGAACGAAAATGAGATCAAAACGTGAGAGAAGCGAATCTTGCATGTTGATGTTCTCCATAGGCGTTTTGAAGGGATCATACCTGAATCGAAAGATCGAAAAACTCAAAATAATACACATCTAGAAGTGGAAATTATATGCAGTGATTATTTCTTTTAATCATATTTTCGATCAAGACTTTGCACTAATTGAACCCGAAAGCCCTGAAAAACGACAAGCGAGATAAATAGATGTTTGGGCATTCTCAGTACTTCCAAAAGGCAATGAGAAGCCAAGACTTTTTGATTTGAAGAGAAAGGAACACGAAGAACTGGATAGTCAAAAGTTATTTTGACAATGGTAACATTACCTAAAAACGCATCGTAAAAGCACTAACCTTCCATAAACTGGATTAGCAGCAGCAAGTACAGAACATCGTGCATTGAGTTTTGCATGGATGCCAGCCTTGGCTATGGTTACACGACCTTGCTCCATAACTTCGTGAATAGCAGTTCGATCGATGTCAGACATCTAAAAAATGAGGTTGGACGCTAGGTCTCACGATGGCAAAGCCGTACACATGTGCGCATAATTCTGGCCTCACTAGTGTTTCGATCACAGTAAGGTTATCGTTATGCACTATGTTTTACGAAGTCTATACCTATGGATTTGATCAAGACAACAAATCCACAAAAAAGGCCTTCGACAATGAGAATGTAGAACCAAAAACATACCTTATCGAATTCATCAATGCACACGACTCCTCTATCAGCCAGGACCATAGCACCAGCTTCAAGCCTCCTCTCTCCAGTATCAGAATCCGTAGTCACTGCGGCGGTCAAACCAACTCCAGAAGAACCACGACCAGTGGTCGCAATAGCTCTTGGTGCCGTATGTAACACATATCTGACGATGAGATCAAAATTGTTACCTTCAGCTAGAAAAAGTCCTATGACAACTGACCTCAAAAGCTGTGATTTTGCCACAGAAGGATCTCCAATCAACAGAACATTGATATCTCCTCGAAGACGACTTCCGTTTTCGAGAATCTTCTCGCATCCGCCGAGTAACAGACAAAGTATAGCTTTCTTCACTTCATCGTGACCGCAAATAGATGGAGCGAGAGAATGAGCGATGAGCTCGAACGCCTGAAAATATCGTTTATCTCTTGAACATTTGAAATTCAGAATAATCGACAGCACTTACGTCCTTCTTCTTGCTAAGTTTACGGATATTTCGGACATCTTCTGGGTTAAAGTCTATGGTGGTCTCCTTAGACAGAAGTTGGATGTTATTTGAAATGACAATCGACCTGGAATATTCGCACTGAAGCCTGATAAAATGTAAAATTTAGATCCTTAAGTGGTTTTCTGCAGTGATACATGATTTTTGGCCACAAAATTTGTAAATCCTACCTGAATGATCCATTCGAGTATCCGTTCTGCTTATTTGGCAGAACACGGTAGAGTCCAATGATGCGTACTCGATCACCGGGGTTCACAAGATCGGCCAGGTCGTTGTCTGCAATCACGTCCACCGACCGAGGAAGCTGTCCTGCTGGAGCGCATTCGGGCAATTCCTGTAATGAAAAGAAGACTACTAGATCTAGTAAAGGCTTCCATGGCTTGGGTGCAGTGAATCAGACCTGTAATGCCTACAAAAAACTGAATTGAATTAACGAGAAAGAAAACTATGTTTTCAGAATCGGCCTATTCGACGCACAACTTCCCAAATAATCTATGGGTCCAATCCAGTGCCAACAGTCCAATCCATCCGCCATGAAAAAACCCTTCTAGAGTCATAAAACTCACTTGCACGGAAAACGTCTGATGATCCTTGTAAGTACTCAGTCCAAACTCGGTTTCCAATGGATTTTTGTTCTCATCCTAGAATATTCGTAATTCAAGGTATCTCACTTGCTGATGTTGTAAGCCCACCTCTGTTGGATAAACGTTGCTTGTTGGGAAAGACTCATAAGAAGTTAGATCAGTGTATCGTTTTTCAAGTGTTTTCTTAGTAGCTGGACAGTAATGGACGCTTTTGACGACTTTAGGTCGGACCACGGAGCCTGTAAAAGCGCAACGATTTCGCGACCCTACATCTTGAAATTTTGGAAAGATCTTTAAAACCGAATTTTCAGTGAAATCTCTACCCTCACCCCACCAAAGCTGAAATGAGCCGAAACTTTTCAGTCATTGAAATCACTCACATTTTGTGACTATCCCTTCGCAGCACACAAGATTTCCGAGAAAGTCAGCCTTCAGCGACCTCGGATTGACATGACGATCACCGAAGCTGCCCTCGAAGCCAACTTGAACATCACTAAAATCAGAAAGTTAAATGCAATTAAATGAGTTATTTCCATCATAGTTCTAGGAGAATACTAGGAAATAAATATAGTGTTTTATCTCCCAAACTTTCCCAACATCTTTACCCGCGCTCTAGAAATTTCTCTTCTTGCTGATAAAGCTGGATTCAGCGGCTAACGACTTGCGGAAAGAAAAAGACTCACTGAGCTTTTACAAAGTCAGGATTGGCTCGCTGTATGATCTCCTTTGCCGCTTGTTCCAGGCACAAAATTTCTTCGACGAAATTGTGGATGAGACTGAAAATAAAACCTAACCATAGTTAACATGATCCAATTCACACAAACCCTGAAGCTCGTTCAGCAGATTTCCTGCGAACATCGTTGAGATTCACAATTAATCGTGGATTTTCGGTGCTGATCATATCTTCCACCTTTTGTACGTAGATCTTCCCTTCAGCCTAAAACACAACCTGACAATACAAAAGTCTCTGGGAAATTGTCTACTCACCGAGTCATCAAGGATATTGAGATACTGCTGGATTATTTCGCGATTCCTCGCCTCGTTAGTCCTGTCAACCATAAAGCCGTCCATTTCTGAAACTATAAAATTTAATGACAAGTTCAAAAAAGTAAAGCAAGGACAACACAGAGAAGATATTTGAAAACGGACTATTCGAAAGGAAGCAACGATTTCCCGCAATAAATTCAAAAGCTCTTCCTTCGCGCCGAAGCGAGTAGGACGCATTTTGGCGAAAGGTCGCGAACTGCATTTCGCGGCGACCTTTATCACTTTCTCTGCTTTGCTTCGAGAAACGAAGGAAAATCCAGTCACAGCTTATTTATTTTATTTTATTTAATACGCTCTTGACGTTCCTTAAACGAAAAAAAAACACACAGTTATATATAACTAACCATAAGAATAGATCATCATGCAGTTCAGGTCACATCCTTTGGAATAAATTAGTAAACGCAACAGTACAGCCTGTATGTGATTGCTAAATGACTACAAGTTCAGTATTGAATGAATGTGATCATGGACATGGCACTCATGCCTCCATTATTTGCCAGCAAAACGATCCTGAGATATTCCAACAAATAAACATTTCGAAAGTAGATCCGCTGTCGCTAAGCCAGTGCATTGGGGAGAGTCTAATGACTCTAGTTGAATAGCAAAGGTAGTAGTATATGACAAAGTCATATGCGACAGGGAAGAAAAGTTAAACTCTAATGTGGAGCTCATGTTCATGTGACATGTTTGCCAGCAAAAATGCTCTTGAAGTAATAGAATAAGCAAAGCAAGGCCAAGTTTGTGGAATAATAATCAACCTTGCCTAAAAGATTACGGCTACAAACATGTCGTAATCAATCAATTAAATCAATAAAATCAAATCAAATCATAGTTATGTTACAAGGCGTTATGATTCCAGACGCTAGCAGCTGTTAAAATTGCTGCTTCTGTGCCAGAAGCTGCCGTATCTGGCTAGTCCGTTTTCGAGTTCCCATATTTAAGACTTGCTTTCTTCGATTCGATGAGTGCTTGAAAAGCTTCAGTTATCTCATTCTTATCTCACTATGTAAAATGTAATATACAGGGTGTCCTAAAAAATATCGAACGTTTGGCTTCAATAACTTCATTATATGGAAAGCTTTTTGGGAGTCATACGGTAGGGCTAGCTTCAACTTAGATTTACAGAAAGATGGAATCATCGATTTTTCTTAGTTACTACAGGATTACGATAGAAATTTTCGACTAATTTTGGGCTTCTGACAGACGACAGCTGCCTCCAAAAAATTCCAAAAAAAAACAAGGACGTCAAACTAAGGTTTTCGAGGATGCTGAATCTAATTACGAAGTTTTCCGCTACCGTACTCCTCATCTTCCTACGGCATGCGCACTGTAACTTTGTATTTTCGGCTTTCCAAAATTCAAATCAACGTTACGGTTACAAACATGCCGTAATCAATCAATTAAATCAATAAAATCAAATCAAATCATAGTTATGTTACCTGATTTTATAATTTTTTGCACTCATTGTTTGCAATTAATGATTGATGAAGAAGTCTTTATGGTTTAACTGAACTTTGCTTGAGAAAGGTAACGTTGATTTAGTAAAGTTTGGATAAAAGTCAAAAATTCAGCGTTACAGTGCGCATATCGTAAAAAATCGAGGAGTACGGTAACGGAAAACTTTGTAATTGAATTCAGTATTCCCGAAAACCTAAGTTTGACAGCCTTGGGTTTTTTTCGGGTTTTTAGGAAGCAATTCTCGACTGTCACAAGCCAAAATTAGTCGAAAATTTCTACCGTAGTCCCACAGTAACCAAGAGGGATCGGTGATTCGCTCTATACTGTAAATTTAAGTTTAAGCTAGCCTTACCGTATGGCACTCAAAGATCCGCGAAAGCTTTCCATATAAGGAAATTATTTGATATCAAAGGTTTGATACATTTTTTTGGGACACCTGTATTTGCATCGCGCTTTATCAGTTAAGAATTGAAGATTTTATTTTCATAATCAAAGGACTGAGAATATATAGTGGAATTTCCGGATAAAAACATACGATCGAGATTTTTTTACTTAAGAAAAGTGTCAGAAAACTGAAGCAAAATCAAGATTAGGCGCAAATAGATTGTTCTAGTTGTTCTAGCTTATATAGAGCCCGTAAAGTAGGAAAATGGAACACAAGTATCCTGTATCATAATGTAAAAGCCAACAAATTTTTGCTTTCATCGGCACTTGAAAATGCATGGCCCTCGAAATATTTCAGTGAGTTTCTTGTGGGCACTAACAATAAGATAGTTAGGATCACTGATACTAAGTATGAAATACGCACACAATTTCCTCGAGAAACTACCAGCGCTTCTCGGAAGGGTTTCTCCCAATAGTTCGAAGATATTTTCAAATGTTATCACTTTAGGTTTATCGTAGCTTCCCAGACCAAATTCTAGTGAAGTAAATGTTACAGCGCACTGCACATTTCACGAGTTGTATTTATCAACAGTCCCCGCTAGGGCATTCTCATTCGATGGCGTGATGTTTTGTTCAAATGACCAGTGTACAGTTCGTGTATAAGGCGTCGTACACTTTTCAAAATGGAAAGAAAAGTTTGACAATGTTTGCGTGAAATCATGGGAAAGCTTTTTTTTTGTTTTTCCGAGCCATCGCAGTGGAAGTTTGACAGTCACTGATATTGTCAAATTGTAGTGACAGAAAAAATCTTCGCAGAAATTCTGGTGACTGTTCCAACTGCGCAGCTTTTTGACGAAACAGGAAGGTTGTCCTAGTCGGTCTGTTATCCTCTGCCCTTCAACTTGCCAGAGTTTGAGCAAAACATTCAAATTGAACCCAGTGGAATGTTTCCATGCACCTGTGTGAGTGCTTATCATGGAGCGTTCTCCCAGCTGCTATCGGTTCGATAATGAACCCGGACAGCATCGTCGGCCCCCCTGATGGACACCAACACAGCAGTCGATGCAAAAACTGAAGGTAAGCGGATGTCTGATTGCTTGCGGACTATTTACAACCAATTTTTCTCTGTACAACGCTTCTTGCGACAAGGGAGAGCAAGCGTTGAACGAAAAAAAAATAAAACGGTGACGTTGGGAGGTAAATAATTAAAGTAAAATTTTCACGTTTGTCCAATGTATTATTTCTTTTTTCTTTGCAATAATAGATCATATTTCGCTGGGTAGCTAATCAGATCGCATTCTTTTGTAATGGTCAAAAACGTGAAAAAAATTCAAATTCCTCATACCTTAATTCAGTGGTTGGCGCTGGAAGCGGTGCTTCGAGGCCTAATCAAGACTGGAGAATGATAGAGAGCACGCTTGAAAGGGAGGCCCAGACTGCGTCGCGGGTGCGAGCGGTCGCTTCCAACCGCCATTCCCATTGAATTAAAGGGTAGCAAGAGTTTTAATGAAGACTAAATAAGACAATTTTCCGCCCAATTTTTCAAGGCTAGAAACAGGATCCTTGGAAAGGCAGAAATCTAATACTTTCAATAACCTAGCATGAGGACCTTTTTAGTCTCTCTTTCCCTCACTTTTTGTTCTTGTTTTTGCATGACTCCTCCTTCAAAAAGAGATCTTTACTCAACTTGGGTTTATTCATTTTTTATCCAGATACAAATTCCAAGGTCTCAGGTAAATTTAATTCACGAAATATGTAGAATTCTGGAGGACAACTGCTAGATTTCAAAAAAGTCTCAGCAAGATTTTTCGTTGCTTGCCAGTCAGACTGATTCCAACATTAGAATAGCTCAAAAAAATCAGCTATGATTAAACGAAAATTGACAAAAAAGTATGCATCAATAATTCAAACCTCACATCTATAAAATTTATGGGGTTTCTGTTTTCTGGAAAAAGTATACTGACTGATCTTAATAATTTAGAGCATCGCTGCTTGGTTTGTGGAGCTCAGGCCACAGGATTCCATTTTGATGCCCAGTCCTGCTCGGCTTGCGCAGCCTTCTTTAGAAGAACTGTTTCGCTTAACAAGAAATTCATATGCATAGCGAATCGATCCGATTGTAAAGTCCACTATAGTAAGTTAGTTGTACAAGGTGTGCTTTTTTACGTCAGGAAATCGTAATTGTTCAGCGATGCATCAAATCTGTCGCGCTTGTAGATTCGAGAAATGTTTGAAAGCAGGGATGAATCGCGAAGGTACGTTATAGAATATTCTAAGCCACTTTGATACCTTGCCTCCTCCGCAATGGGCTCACGATTTTCTGTTCCCAAAATTGTAAAAAGTTATTTCCTTATCTTTGAACTCGAAGTAGCACCTTTGAAATTTTATTATTTTTACTCTCAATCTTTGACCCTTGCACATTAGTCGAGTGAACACTATTCCATTTTCTTCAACAAGCACAATAAAGGAATCGCAGGCGTCCAACCGCGCAAAGCCAATCCGAACCATCGACGAGCATTCTGTACAAAATCAGGCTTAAAACGTAACAAAAGGTTTGCTGTGGTGGCACCGATGAGTAGAGAGGAGATTGAGCAGGTTGTTGAGGTAAAGCGAACTCCGATTTTGCCGTTTTCTCTTTGTGCGGAAAAAATCTGCAGAATTTAGAAAACGGAGTTAAGTAGAATAATCTGGTTTTGCAGGTTGCCGATTTGTCAAGAACTTCTACAGAAGGCAGTAGCTCACTGAACTGCACACCTATTGGATCGCCTGTTGAGGTAAGTTGCAAGCTTTTCTCCTACATTAAAAAATTACAGCATTATTATTTCTTCTTCTTTTTGAATTCGGGATAGAAATTTGATTGAAAATTTTGTTGAAGGCTGCAAATGTCATACTCCAACTACTCGACCTTGGCTGTAAACTCCTGCTTGATGCTTAACTCAGTTGTTGTACCACTCAACACTCTGACTACTTTGCAAAATTCTAGAGTCTTTTTTTTGGCAAAATTCTTGATATTCTCCAAGTGTCGAGATACTAGCTGCCAAAAGTATATACCATACAGAATTCCTGACTGAAGGAGATCCTTATTCTGATATCATAGAACAATGTTTTTTTGTTATGTAGTTGTTTACATATTATTTAGAGGCCAAAAGCCATCTACCGTAGCCCTATGACAGCTACACCATCTCCGACAACAATGATAGAAAACAAGGAGCCAGCAGAAGATGTGGGTTCTTTTTAAATGACCAAGTATCAACATAAAAAAGGTTTAGGTACTCACGTGGTTGGTACGGGAAGAAATGAAGTTAGGAGAGAGAAGAAGGATTCTTTTCTGTGAGCGACCTGTAGATAATCTACTGGGACAGACTTCATGTGTAAGTCTGATTGTACCTATGTTGTTTGATGTTTACAGAGAGCTTCGTTCTCGAATCTGTTTCTCAAGCAAAGAAAGGAAAATGGGAAAATTCAAAAAAGTCCAATCTTGACCGCATAAGTCCACGCTAAAAGCAGTGGCTCAGGAAATTTGCAATTGCGCGCTTTCTGTTATTCCTTGGCCTTCTGGAGCAAATTTCGGCTACGAATTTTTTGTACAGATAAAGCCTTGACCTTTACTTACCTTCTGTAAACCATCTGGAAGTGTGTCTCTGACGAGTTTTGAAGTTATTGGTTTTGATATTTCAGCCATTCACTCGCGAAGATATTCGTCCTTTATCGTTTCGTGCTTTTCGAAAAAGCATACGAACGCACATTTTGTTGATTTACGAATGGCTGCAAGCATGGCCAGATTACAAAGTCCTTGGTAATGTGGATAAGGTCAGTTTTTATTTGTCTAACACTATGTATTTTATCTGTAATCTTTTTTTCAGGTGTCATTCCTTCGAAGCTGTGTTCTTTTTCATACAATTCTTGATCCAGTCTATATAACCATGCAAATAGGGTTTGTTGATTTTTGCTGCAGATAAGTACTATGATAAGAAGTACTTTCAAGATATCCGGACAGGTTTGTAATGCAGAATGGGGGTTACGTTTCCTGCGTTGGTGGTTGTGAAGACGGCTGGCAGGGAGAAAGAGAAATCTCAACGGATGTCAAGAAGTCGTAAGCAAAGGCTGACTTTCATACAATTTTAATTGGGATTCTCAAGCTGCGCCGTGTCAGCGTCGTCCCAAAGCCGTGCTGGTCCAATGGTCGATCAATGCGGGTCGCCCTTACTTGGGTTCCGCACGGTTCTAGCACGGCGCTGGCACAGCACTGGCAGGCGGGCAACTCTGGACGTTGCTTTATATTATAAGAAAATTGTTGTTTACCTAAGAATCCGCAAAATCTTTTTTTTTGTACAAGGAGTGCTTTCCTCTTTCAAGGATTTACCAACCGCTGCTGAAAAAAATAATGTCAGAAATCATACCGCCCATGTTGAATCTTGGCTTGTCCTTCGAAGAATTTGTGGCACTGAAAGCATATGTGAGCTGGCAAGGAGGTAAGTTTATGACTTCTTCATCACTTTTCTCACTATTTTTGCTCTTCTTTTCTTTTCAGCAATTTCCAACGTTTCGCTAGAAGGACGTGATGCTATGAGGCGACAAATAGATGCTATTTCAAAATCTCTACACTGTCATTACGAGAGGGTTCGTTATGCTACTCGTGTTTCCTGTTATGATATTCCTTTTCTTACAGATGAATATATCTCCAGCAGAAAGAATGGGCTCGATCATTCTACTGCTTAGCTCCATTTTTGTAAGTTGTATAAGTACAAAACGAAAATGCTAGACAAATCTTTTAGAAAAGTTTGAGTTAGGAAAGAAAGCAGAAGAGAATTGCGCGTGATCAATCGTACAGCTCATTTGTAACTAGGAGTTATAATTTTGGTTCAAGTAGAATACTACAGAAATAGTCAGCATTTTTCAAAGATTTTGCCAAAACACTTTGTCACCTTAATAACAAAACTTGGAAAGCTATCGCTCACTCCGAAACATGAAAGGACTGCATTGACAGGCTGCATTCACCATCAACAGTGCGTACTCTAGCATCCCACAATACCATCAGCTGTTGAATCAATCATTTCACTTTGAACAGCAATTTTACGATGAAAAAATTCTTTATTCTAGTCAACGGGATTGGATTTTGTGGAGAGCCACAGGCAGATCGAATTTTTCGACCTATGGCATTTGGACTCTTTACTGCTACAGTTTCTCAACCTGGATTCTATATTAGAAATGAACAGTACGTGAAATAAGACAATACAATAAATAAAATGTTTTTTGCTGTTGCTGCGTCACTTACATTACAGTTTCTTCTCGGCGAAAGCTCAGAATGAGCTTACACCCACATAAGCACGAAAATTTGTTGATACGCATGTATAGGTTGTCACTGGCAAACCGCAATATGGAGATGCGGTCATCGTGCAGACTCACATCGCAAAGCACTGAACCGCAAAAACGGAAGATATCTTTAGCATTTGCTATTAATGAGTTTGTTAAAAACTTCAAAAGCTGTTATTTCATGGCACAAGCAGGGCCCGGCAAGAGGGTGGCAAACGGACACCTTTAAAATCATATATACCATGCACATTTATTTATTGGAAGGTGCGCCTTGCCGAGTTGAGTTGAATGATGCTTTTGGATCCAGAATTCCTAGACTCTGAACCGAGATGGGGGGAATTTTTACGACCTATCTAACTATTCATATTCGATGTGCAGTTAGTAACAGTATTCTGTTTCGCACATGTAGCAATGCTCATGGAGTTTTGGGCTCTCCCCGGTAGGCCGATTGGTGCTTATCCGCCGTCGTTTGCTTGTTTGAATACTTAAAGATCGTTTTGTGGCTAACGCGGGGGCATGGGTTCCATCTCTGTGGTTATAACTCATTATTGGCATTCGTGATATCCAGCAGTCTTTTTGCAAGCTAAGTCGTTATTTCTTTAGTTCGAATAAAGTCTGGCTTTAAGCATATGATGTTTCTCTTGCTATTCATGTCTTGTGTAAAACTAACAACTTTCACTGTTTGTTTTTTTTCTTTATGGAACGCCTCGAGCGTATTCAATGAAAATGAAAATGAATGAACTTTGGTGAAGAGCGGTGGTCTCTGGTGTTTACCTGGTGTGTAAATGCATGATAACAAATTTTCTTTTCTTCCAAAGGTCTTATCTATTAGTAGGTGTGCTGGAGATGTATCAGGCTGCTGCATAAGTTTTGTTTGACTTGGATTATCAAATCCAATATGTCATAGTTCTTTGAAAGTCAACTTTTTTCCATAACCTTAGTTTCAATGTGTTGAACAGTTCTTTGACTATCAGATCAGATCGAGACTTGCGGAAGACCCTGTTGAAGAAGAAGCGAGAACTCAAACACTTCACAGCGTTTTTCTTCAAACTTGTCTTTCTTGACATGGTAATTCCCTTATGAGAATTGACACGCATATTAGTTAACCATGGGTAGATAGAGAATTTTCGTAGATTATTTTGCAAGTTGAAGGAGCCCATAGAGTCTTCGGTGAAAAAAGATTTTTTTGACGGAACAAAAAAGGCCGCTTCCTGACCTCGCTTCGGTACATGTGCGCATGCCTATATATGAATTATGAAAATTTTAAACTTGACACGAGCAGTGAAGAGGAATTGGTGGACAAGCCCTGCTAGCTTTTGCTTTACTCTAGCATCTCCAACTTTGTACTCATCGATTGCCTCTGTTCGCGGAAAGTTATCGCCTGTAAAAGATTTATACAAGAAAATTAATGTTCGACAACAAATTTTACTAGCAGGACGTGTTTCTCATGAGATTGAGCTTGTGCATATATTAGCCTGTTACACCCTTATTCGGCAACCAATGAAAGGACTTGACTGAACGGCGAATTGTGGACATTTTCTTGCAATAACGTACTCCTTAGGTGAGAACTTACTCGACTACCTGAGGATCTGTAGGCTCGTTAAATTGATGAATTTAGCAAAAGCAAATGCATTAGAAAGAGCAAGAAAAGCGCTTGCTAGTGGTTCAAACAGTATCGCATTAGAGGTAAAATTCTCTTAGAACAGCTGCTTCAAACATAAGACAAAATTGGACAGAACTTATGCAACAGCCTAGTACTACTCTATTTGATCATTTTCTTGTCTAAAGCTTTCGCAAGTTTTTAGGAAGGGTCTTATAAAGCTTCGGCTCTTCTACTGTGCAGAATAAATAGCCATTTACCCTCCAGTACTGCAGAGTAATGGTAAAAACTTTTGGCGGTTTTCGGGCCAGTAACAGTGCGATCTGCTTAGGAATGATTGAGAGAAAATGAGAATCTGCTATCAACAAGGAAACCGAAGTCGGCTCGATTTTGGCATTGCACGCCGTTTATAAGAGATTGAGTCAATCAAGTGTAACAGCAATTTCCTTTACGATTATCAGAAACTGCTGTCCAGAATCTTATAAACTTTCAAACTTATTAAGTAAATCTAGCGAGCTCAAAACGTGACCACAATAGCCGCTTTGTTGAAACTTGAATGATGTACTCGATACCAGCCTTACTAATAAATTTTTATTGTTCACGTTTTCAGCTAAAGAAGCATATCCAGAAAAAGTGTGTCGCATGATAACACAAAAATGTGGCGAAGAGTTTCGCTGAATCTTCTTATAATTGCTTAGTGTTAATATGAGGACGGTCGTCTTCAGCCTATTGATTTTTTGCATAATATTTGCGAGAGGATTAATGGCTGCACGATATGTTCGACGTGTGAGGTCTTGTGCAACTGCACGGTGCATCAGAGGTATGCATACGACGAGCGAGAAGCGAGCCAGTCGCCGCTTTGATCAGAAATTGCGACAAGTTCATCACTCGAGGGCCGGGGCCTTGTAAGGGAAGCATGTTTAGGCTTTCTTAGACGAGTTGCATACGAATACTGGATAGCAAAATGCGCTGTTTCCAAACTGCCTTCCTTTGCCTTCCAGAGTTTGTGTCAAATGAGCATTTCTGTGAAGAGTTATGATTTTTGAAGAAATGCCAAAAATCATTTGATTTTTTCGCATTGCTTATCCAAAACTCAACTGCACGGAGATCCTCTTTTAACACAAACTTTGCACTGTTGCGAAGTTTGGATCAAAAGACTTACTATGCTGCTTGCTTGGAATTCTATCGCGAGTTTTAGATTTTTAGCAGTTTAACCATAATTATCACGTTAAATAATCCCTGTGAGCCAAGCTCTAGCGAATTCTGAGAGTTCTCAAAATTGAGCCACCCAAGTGAAGTGCTATTTTTGAACAGGTTAACTATAATCCAAAAGTGAATTAGTACCTCTTCTGTACTCAATACAAATCGCTACTTCGTGTTCGCCTATACTATGAATCCTGCTCCAAATAACCATCAAACTGTGAAATTAGAAGCCAGGGAAAACCTCGTTTGTCATGTGTTCCGAGTGCGGTGGGTGTGCTTCTAGCAATCATTGCTCAAATGAAAGAAGAAATTCAGCTCCAATTCTCTAATTTCGCAATAACTACGAAATTTTGACTATCGAAGCGCATAAAATTTGTTCTCATATATTCTCTTTGAAGGTTAGAATGGGGTGTGGCACAACGCCAGAAAAGCTGTGGCTGCTACACCTTTTCAGGGATTGTGCCATATTCCACTAACTTATACGGGTAACATGCTAAGTCTACGCTACTATGTGAATCGCGAGGAAAGGCAACAAGAATGTATATATTCGATAGTCGATGCCTCGCAATTTACACTAAAGTGATTTGAGCCTGATTGCTTTCTCTAGTCTGAGATATTGAAAGCAAAAGATGGAACAAAAGATTCTGACTTGCTCTTAATTCCTTAATTTGGAGGTTATTTGAAGTAGGATTCCTAAAGTAAGCAAACGAGGTAATTCTTTGTATTGAGTGCAAAAGAGTTTTGACTCACCTTTGAAACAAAATTCACATGTTTGCAATTGACCCTCACTTGGGGGCCTGATTTGGAGATCTCAAAATTAGTTGAAACTTGGCCCCGTAGGGGTTATTTGACATGTTAATCACGGAAATGACGTTCTTTTTAGGCCTTTCATTGTGCTCACTGACCTATACAATGGCGAGCCAAATATCAGTGTGCTAATAATTTGCATGATGGTCCTATCTGACTTTGTTGACGAGTATCATGTTATCGTTAACATCAGAATCAACTCAATAACGACCCACCCCTGTGGCCCCTCAATACGTCCCCGGGTGTGGCATGCCACATCCCACGTTTGAAGCTGAGCCTAACTCAAAATGACCGAACTTAAAATAATTTCATCCTCCTGCTTCGAAATCGAAACTAGACCTTATTAGTGAGCAGCAAAGGCACTATCGCAAAGAAAAGTTTTTTCCTTTATCAATCAAAATTAAGTTATCAAAATTATGTTTGTGCAAATCCATTGAGAGAGTAAGAAGTTATTAATCTCCGAAAATTTTATTTATTTTATTTATTTATTGATACGTGCAAAAACACGTGAGTAGAAATAGTAAAATCAAGTCTTGCAATGCTAGAAAACCGGAGTATTAATGTACAAAAAGAATATCAGCAAAAGATATACATACAGTACCATTTACAGCATAAAACAATGAAGAAAATGGTTTCACGATTGGGAAATAGGACGATTTGTAAAAAATTTTGCTAATGTCTTTTGGAGGGCATCTTGTGCCAGTAGCCTGTTAACATCCGAAACTATTCTCACAGCGAATAAATTGGACCTGAAAAGTAATTTTGTTTTGGGAACCCTTAGTTTTAGCGAACCTCCTCTAGTCTTGGAGTTGTAAACCTCAAAGAATTTTGAAATATCAATTTTGCATTTTCCTATTAGCATCTTGAGAGCCATGGAGAGATCAAACTTTTTTCTTCTGAGGGCTAAACTAGGCAGTGATAATACTTTGTTGCGTTCATCGCTTCTAGGTATAAGAGAGTAGTTGGGACCCAAAAGTCTCAGAAATAATTTTCTGGTAAAGTTGTTTTGTACCCTTTCGATAGTAGCAATGTCTCGGACCTTATATGGAGAAGTTACTGTAGTACCAAATTCGACAACAGGACGAATGCACATCTTGTAGGCATTAATTAAAACTTTAGCGTTTGTGGTTCTGAGGACCTTGAATAGTTTGTAAGTTCGAAATGATGCGAAATGATGCGACAGAAATTTTGCATCACTCTAATATTAGGTTGATTCATAATTAATGCACGTTTTGAATTTCAACCGCAATAAGTCAAACACTTTTCATTCTTATATAGGCTTCAAAGTACCATTGGATAGAGCAAAGCAAGCT